ATCTTGAGAATCAATAAAATAATAGTTCTTTTTCATATCTTCTATTAAAATACGATTACTTTGATCAGACCAAGAAATAATAATTGATTCTTTCATAGAAGATATTTTTTTCGAAGATGTTGTTCTTTTTTATATAAAAGTTCGTTCAATTTTAATAAAACGAATTAATATTGTTCCTAATAAATTTTGTTCTCTTCATGTTCACAACGATCACCATGAAGACCTTTCGAACAAATAAATGTATATGGTTCTAATGTTTGTCTACTTAAAACCGATCGAATACATTGACCACTATTGTTACATATTTTATTATTATTTAATTCATATTTTGTATCTTTCATAAAACATCGAGGACCAAATTTATATGTTGGACAAACATATATCGTTCAATTATATGCGTCTATACTAATACATAATGAATCCGGTGAGCATGTACAATCAAGAACATATGGAATGTGACAATATAACTTTGAATCGACACATAAAGATTCAGATTAAACGGAGAATCTTATTTTTATAAATGATGAATATTTTTACTAAATTAGTCAGTAGTTTCATTGATTATTTATGACCTTATATTGTTCTGGTAGATAACATATATTTATAGAGGCTGTAAGTGTGACTTTACTTTTACCCACATCCTGACGATGTATACTACTGGTTCTCTGTCGTTGTTCGTTATCTTATATATTCTATTCATTTTGCTTTGCTTTGAGTATCCTAAAATTTATTGTTCCTAATGTGAAAAAGTACATGTTTTTGTATATTTTCGTTCTTAAATTGTTGATGAACAATCACGCCTATGAAGTCTCTAGAAAAGGTATTTATTGTAGGAAATCCAATAATCAGAGAGAGAGTAAACACTTCCTGAGGTGAAATTTTGGTTTCAAATTTACCCTACCACTTTCTCCTAGTCGAAAGAGTAATCGATGTAAACTTCCATTGCATTTGCTATGTTTGAACAAAAATAATTTCTTTATCAGATTTTTATTTATCACACACAATTATTTTCAACCAGACAAAAAAAACAATTTTTCTTTTATTTAACACTTGATTTTTTTTCTCTTTCACTCTGATAAATAACATTTTTTTGCATAAGGAAAATAGTTTTTTAAAGAATGCCAACGTTGTTTTCGACCCTGGAAATATAATTTACTTATTTTACCACAATTAGTTCGAGTAGCATCTCTACTGAAATCATGTGTTACTCGTTCTAAACATTCATAATTGACCAAAAGAATAAGATTATTTTGAAAATACGTTTTGGTATCAAGAAGAAATTCTTCGACGTAATCATCATGAACACCCACAATAGAAAGTTTGCATAGAGAAGTGTATTCAATAAGTGATGAATTATGATTATGGCTGTTCGATTGATTAGATTGCTTTCGGTTTTGTGCTGTACGATTAACTAAAGATAATTCTTCCATAAATGGAAATGACTTTTGAATTCGAAGAAAAAATTCATGTTCAAAAGGACGTTCATCATATAATGATACTGCACGAACATGTTCAAATAATCCACCTGGAAAACTATTTGAAATACCCGTATAATATCGCATGAGAAATGGATAAGAGTAAATGTGACATTGACTTCGTTCAAAATTTGGAAAAAAATCCACATGAGAAATGATATTATTATTTGGAAAGTCAATGAATGTCTTTTGAATATCTTCTGTCGATGGAATACTCATTCCATCACGAATATAATTGGATGATTGAATAAAAAATGTAAATTGATTTAATCGTGGCATGTGTTTAAGAATTTTTGTCTTTAAATGTTTTCCATCAATCAATGTGTTCGAACCACGCACCTTAAGACATAAATCGAGTTCTTCTAGATTTGACATTCGATAGAGAAGTGGTAGCACTGCTATTTCATAATCGAATGTTTCCCTTTTACAGGAAAGAGAAAAACACTTCAGATTTGGTAAATGATCCTAAAAAGTGAAATATTTTATTCGTTGACAACATGGAATTTCTTTTATAAAACTAACTTGATTTATAGAACCATCTGGAAATGAAATTTTAACCAAATCGACATGGAATGTATGAAGTTGATCATAACGACCATCAAGAAGATAAAGACAATCATCAAAGATTTCTACTCTGATAATTAATTT